TCCCGTTTTGGCTGAGCAAAATCAAAAGTTTTCTTAAGGCGCCTTCGACGACAATATAGCTAAACTCGAGGAAGGGGGGAGCTACTATAACTAGTTTTGCTCAAACTTTCGAAAAACCGCCACCCCCAGAAAAATTTCTCCGCACGCCACTGCTTACGGTCAATGTGGAGATAGGCAAAATACCACAAACGGGAATTTGGGTCGGTAGTGCATCAAGTGATAGCTTCAACTCCGAAAGACGTGATAGTAAGAATATTGCGAGATCCAGAAAACAGATGATCATTTTTTCGAAATCGACTCAAAGTGTATTTGGATGGAGGGGAAACAAGAATACTGTGTTTCATAGAATGCAAGAGATTTCGGACCACAATTGGAGTGCTTACCCGAGGCAGCAAAAATTTCTGCTCAGTCTTGAGAAGCTCATCTAGAGGCTTCAAGTTTCAAAATTTTCAGCCAAAGAACGGGGACACGTCAGCTCGCCCAAAGCTTTTTTGTTGGTCGCAGACTTCCATGGTGTTTCGAGAGGTACTGAGAGGTATCCGTTCCTGAAGCCCGGTCGGCGTTTTTTTTACAATTTTTCCGTGTATCCTGCGCAATTTTCTTGATGGAGATTGTTCCCTTCATGAGAGCCAGTCTCCGAGAAGGATTTTTCCTTGAGACAGATTCTCACTGCTGATCTGAAAAGTCTTGTGATTCGCACACATTTGTTCCCATTCCCAATTTTGAACGAACATAAACTTTCAGATTTGTTCAGGGGAAGGAGTAGCTGTAACTAACTGCACTTCAACCTTTACCAGTAGATTAAATTGAGGGTGAAAGGCGATTCATTTGATACGTTCGATTGGTTAGAGAACACTTGAAGTAACTTAATGTGTAGCTTGGTGGGACAAAACTGTTGTGAATCAGTGCAAGGCAAGATATTTGTTATAAAGACTTTTTTGAGATCAATGTTAATGATAATTTACCTAACATTTTAAAAATTACAATACCGTGCAGCTTCTTAAAGACTTCTAAGAAAGTCTTCGACAGACTCTCGGTGATTCTGAACTGTTGATAGGAACTTGGCTCGTTTAGCAACAACCAGATGTTATCTGGGTCTGTAGTAGCCTCGTACCACAGGGTGGATCCCATTGAACATCATCTCGCTGAGGTTTTGTGCGAAAAAAGACTCCTGATCTTCGAGATTGCTTGCACTCTACTTTGACTGAGGGAAAAATTCGTCCTTTGAAGGTCTGCGTGATTCGTTCCGTCCAAAGCATTGTCGCTTTTCTTCTCTTAGCAAGCTATCGCATGGAAATCAACATGCCAAGCTCTTCCCTCTTCAGGTTTTGACAGATATAATGAATTATTAGGGTTGTTCGATTCAAGTTTCCAGTCTGTACACCACTGTTGTGGATCGGTGCAATGCAAGAGAATTGTATAAAGATTTTTTTGAGATCGAAGTTCATCATACTTTATTTATCCTTTAGTTGGCGTTTATAGGTGTTATCAGTGGTAAAAGTATTAATAAAACAAGATATGTCATCAGGGATAAAAAAAATTTTTGTTCACACTTTACCATTTTTGTAACTTTTAACCAAAAATACATTTGACATATATAGCATCGCATTCATGGACGGGATTGACTAAAACCATGAGAATCTATCGTGGTTGACACATTGTCACAGTTGGTTAAACTCAACTGATAATAAAGAGACTGCAAAAAAAATAGAATTGTTTCTGATTCAATTTAATACCCTTCAGCAGATAAACAAGTTCATATACTTTTTCTCTTTAAGTTTCATACTAAAAATTTTAACTTCGATGATCACAAAAACTAGTGGAGACTGTGAACCGGCTTTTCAGATTCTTGGATTAAACCCTGAAGAGAACAAATTTGTCAAAAAGAGTCAACCGATAATCTTGCACAAATGGATCTACTATCAGCTCAAAAACGAAAACAGCATCAGGATTTGATGGTCTGAGAGAAGAGCCAGGATTTTTGGAAAAGCTACAGTAATTGAAGACACCCTCGGACTTTGCCGCATGATTGGTAGCTGAAAGGGGGGATACCGGAAAAATTTTTACCCTAATGCTATGACTAAACACAAATGACCCGCACCGGAGTTCCACGGATAATCGATTATATTGAATTTTTGTGGGCTGTCCCAATAAATTTCGATAATAATCGATAATAATCGATTAAAAATTGATTTTAATGAAACTATTTTTAATCAAAAAAATCCGAATAAAATTACAAAATAATCGGTTATAATCGATTAAAAATGAATTAAAATCCTTATGTTTTTAGGTCAATTTAATCCATTTTAATCCTAATACTTTTTATGCCAATATAATCCATACCCCTCCCCGTTTACCCTGCCCCCTCCTCGTTTACTTTACCCTACCCTCTCCTCGTTTACTTTAACTACCCCCTCATTTTACTTTACTCCCCCCGTACCCCCCGTGCCATGAATTTTAAATGAATTTTAATGGATTATAATGGATTATAACTATGGATTTCTATTTTTTGAAAAAAAAATCGTTTCTAATGACCACATAATCGATTACGTGGTCTGAATTGCCACAATAATGGATTATAATGACACTATTTTAGACAAAATTTTTCCATTATAATCGATTATTATCCATGGAACTCCGGTGCGGGGAAACAATCAAAGTATCTATTTCAGAATATGTGGAAAAAACAATAGCCCGGGATACTTTAAGTTAGGAGATGACTTCTCTAGTCCTTACCACCGTCAAGCTTTTTACCAGTCCAAAAGCAGCTTGGTTAATGAAAGCAGACATAGTATGAATGAATATCGACACCTCGTAGAGACTGGCCCAGGACCAGACGAAGGAGCAATCCCAGTCCTGTTCATTGTTTTGCTGGAACTTGAGTTGTAGCGGGCAGCCCATTGTCTTGGTTGCCAGGGGATCAGTGTGGATGGTTATTTGGAGGAACTCAAAAAGGAATGCTCCTCAACTCCAGTAGGAATCCAGTTAGAATTGACAGCTTCCAATGTAGAAAGTGTAAAACGTGTAATGAGAACAATGTTGGCCGATTCGAAAGCAGCTGGCTCATACAGCACGCATTCATATTCCTATTGTATAGTTCCTATTGAAAGCGCCCTGGTCAATAAAGGAAACACAAAAAAAAAACGATGTCGATGGCTTTGGCGCGCTAGAAGACAGCTAGTTTTAAAGATAATAGAAGGGATCGAAAACTTGAATAATGCTGAACACAAATTCAATTAACTCTTTGTAGATACAAGAAGAATAGATCAAGCTCTTCAGGGTTTAAGCATTTATTTTTCGGTCATTTTACCGAGTCAAGGGCGAGAGTCTATTTCGATTTGAGAGTTTTTGGATATTTGTAATAGGCGGGACCTAAAGTTTGGGTGTTGATCGATTAATTGGGGTGCAAGACTAATTTTTTCAAATCAGGTTGGGTATAATCCTATTTTTAATCGGAAGTGGAATCTGAAAACTCCAATCGTTTGCAAAATAGCTGAAGTCTTTGAAATCGATTAAAGTCCCGTGTATCTTTTGATACATCCAGCTTTTGATTGATAACCTGTAAATGTTTCCGGTATCCAAATCAAGTTGTCCTCAATCGAAAAGATTCAAAAGCCCAGCTCTGTTCAAAAAAACCACTTACCGTCTCAAATTCCCCTTAAACAATCTTTAGTCATAACTGATACTTAACTCAAAGTAGCATGCATCAAAAAATGTGCAGGTCCCCGAGTCAACGTCAACTTCAGCTAGTAGCCTGATGCAGAAGAACAGTTAGTTCTTCTTTAATTTTTACAAAACCAAAAAGAAAGAAGGGCTTTTGAATTGCTCTAGATTACGGAGCACGGACCGTTTTTAAAGGAAAATATTTTTCTTGGACGCATGCATTCCCAGTGGGATTTACTAATAATGGTGTACAAGACATGAAAAAATTTTGACGATTTTATAGGCAAACAAGGGCATATTGTTTGTACAGTTCTTCTGAGATTTTAAAATTTAGCTCAAACGTAAGATTTTAGTAAGACTCAAACGTTTCTGGAAAAGGATCAATTGCTCAATTGACGTGTTTATATTACGCAATCATTTGACCAACTGAAGTTTATTATTCATAAGTATCGAGAAAAGTTTTGAAAAAGAAAAAATTTGAAATTTAAAAGACTTTTTCCTGCGCATTTTTGTTTGGGCGACCATTGCCTCATCGGGGAAAGCAAGTTACCAGGGTTCGTGCTCTATCCTTGCATCTGAACACCAAGAAAACTGTTCTGTGCAGCACCTTAACAATGTAAGCAAAAGTTTTTTCCATTTTGGACAAACATGTTGCTTTTTGTGCCTCAATTTTATTCATTCTTTTTACGCTGAAGGTAGGGCGTTCGCTTTTGTTCTCAAGGACCCCCTCGACCCCCTCACCAACCAAAGGATCCCCTCTTTGCTATCTTTTTTTGATATTCATTTTGGGCAGCCAAAAAAAAATTTCTTCTAAAGGCGCCTTCGGCATCAATATATAATAATTATGAAGGGAGCGCGCGCCAAAAAACGCAACTTTTTGCTCAAAATTGTCCTGAAAGTGTTCAAAAACGGCTTTTTTGACCTATTTTTTCAGAAACTGCCTGAGGGCAAATTTTTTGGTAAAAATAAGGTCTTTATAGAGTTCTGGGAGTGCTCGGAAAATCAATTTGGTCAACCAAAAAAAAGTTCGTCAAAATTTTCAAAACTTTTTTGAAAATACGCCCCCTCCCCTAGCTATACACGTGGGTAATCAACCTTTTTAGCGTTTCGTTGCGAATCTGAGGCATCGTTATTTTCGCATGCTTTTTCATGTTTCAATAAAAAATTTGATTATTTTTTGTACTCAGCTTAAGTTTCTGAGTCATTTGAAGATATGTTCACATAAGAAATCTGTTCACATTAGAGTTTTTAACTACTTAGCTAGATAGTCTTTGATGCAGAAAAAATGATTTTAATTTTTTGCAAAAGCATTTTTGTTATTATAAGCTATCGTTTTGCGTAGATTTTTCATTACCGATACTTTTGCGAACACAAAACAAGCTTAGCAAAGACTTGCACCAAAAACGAATGAAGTTTTATACTCACACACCTGTTCTGAAGTAGTTATTTATAAATTTTGTTGATCATGCAGTCAGTCGTTGGTTTATTTACCCTCTACACTTTCTTACTCTGGTAAGTGAGTCATGTTTAGTTTTCTAATAAATGTGACGGCTGCGAAGCCTTACATAGAAACTCAGTGCACATCTACGTCATTTCATTAGACAGTTTTTTAAGAAAGTGAATTGATTTGTCACCTGCAGGGAGGTATCATAGATAATTTTCGATTCTAATCGATTTTCGTGGTCAAATATGATGCCCTTATAATCGATTATAATTAAATTTTGGGACCACGCAATCGATTATAATCCTTTATAATCAATTATAATTAGTGAAGTTAAATCGATTACAATCCATTTCAAATACATTATAATGGATTATAATCTTTATAATCCATTATAATTAGAGAAATTAAATCGATTACAATCCATTTAAAATACATTATAATGAATTATAATCTTTATAATCCATTATAATTAGAGAAATTAAATCGATTACAATCCATTTCAAATACATTATAATGGATTATAATCTTTATAATCCATTATAATTAGAGAAATTAAATCGATTACAATCCATTTCAAATACATTATAATGAATTATATTCTTTATAATTTTTTTAAAATATTTCTGCAAAACAAGCAGCGTTTTCTGCATTATTCCCAGCCTCGATTTCTTAACCTGCTCAAATTTACTTAATTTTTGCAATATCATAGCCCTCCCACTTTTAACCCAGTTTCTTTCAATTTTAACTCTCAATTTGAACAACCCCAAATTTGCCCCCATCCCTGGCTACTCATACTTATCCTCACACCCACTTCCACCGCCTACCGCCACCTCCCCTGCTCCCATCCCTTTGGGGTGGGGGTAGCACTTACTGCCAGCCTTTGCCCAGTATTCAGGGTAGAGGTAGCACTACTAACCAGCTTTTCTGAGGCGGATTTAAGGGGAGGGGGGCTGGGGCGGACGAATTTACTTATGCATGTCACAACAACCAAGTCTTTTAAACGTGTACCGTGTTTTATGTTTGTAATTCTTATGGGCGTACTTCTCCGGTCGAGTTTTGATTTTAAATACATAACAAAGGCTGCTCGTGTCGTATAAGGGGCGGATATGGGATGTTCTTAAGGGGAGGTTGATTCTCAAAGACTTTTGAAAATCTGGCTGATGTGGTTCCTCGTTGAAGCCATGGAGCGTTATTTGAGCGTTATTTTATTGAGCGTTATTTCGTCAAAAAGAACGCTTATAATGAACTAAGTTTGCCAAAATTTTTGAAAACCTACATTTTACAGATATACAATAATGTTTTGATTTGCTTTAAAAGTTTAGATTTCGGCCTGAAGTCCTTTTGACTGAAAGACCTGTCGGCGTTGATCCAAAATATGCAAACCAGCTGAACTGTTGCCCAGTTAGTGGGAGGACATTCTACCAGACCGAACTTTTACCGGATAAATTAAAACAAGTTAAAACATGTTCCTGAGCAGGGACAGCTCTCGAGTGCAAAAATATATCACTGAGTACCCAAACATGATCCCATCTCTTAGACTTGAAATGTGAACACACAAAGGACACTTTACCTGTAAGTCGTGGTGTCAATCGTAAGCTTAAGTACCACGTCACGAAACGCTACGTTTCAAAGTTCGTATCGTTCGTGTTTGACTTAACCTAAAGATTCTAAAACACGCTTTCTCGAGTGGCATGCCGGATTGCATAAGCTGGGCCATATCGTCATCTGCCAGAGTTATTACAAGATTTCCGCCAAAAATAAGTTTTAGCTGACTCCTCGCAAGAGATGTTTTGAGCGGTTGCGTTTTTTCGTGCTCTTGCTTTAGACATTAAGGAGACAAAAGCTTCATTTCGTTTGTGGCAAGGCTAGGGTTGCACCTATGAAGGCATGAGTCCTTTCAAAATTGGAATAACAGGCTGCGCTTCCTGCTTCTTGTCCTTGTGAAGATTTCCAAAAACCGTTAACGATCGAGTTTTCTAACATTTTCATGTTGTCTGACAGCACTACGGTGGTCCAGAGACTATTCTTGAAATAGAAACTCCCCGTCTTTTTTTTTCGCCAATTGGATGGTAAAAATTTGCAATTTGACCACATTTGACGAGTGGTATCATGTCACTAGTGTTCGCAATCATGTGAACATCGGAACCCACAGTTTTTCGGCGAAAAGTTTGAAAGTGATAGCTGGGTCTCCGGACCTAGTTCCCCTCTAACAATTGATTGACCAATCAAACCTTCAACGGACGTCATCAACAAAGATCGTCTTTGGAAACTTGTTGATAATTCTTTTGACACTACCCTAAATTTTGTAAGTTTTACTCGTGCTCATACAGAGCTAGTTTTTGTTTAGATTCTTTCCATTTCATAAGGGATCGCTTGCGGCTCTTTCAATCATTTGTAACGCTTTCTCGCGTATTGGTTGCGGTTATTGTCCAGCTACAAACATTTCTGTGGTTCTGATGCAATAATAACCGACCCATCTGAAAAAAAAACGGAAAAAGTTGTTATGGCAAAATTATACCCAAAAGATATTGAGTCGTTATCATCTAATAAGAAGGTCAAGTCAAGTATTCGGATTGCAATCTATTCATGGGCCCTTATATTTTTCTTTGCTCAACGAGCCGTATCAAGCGCTTGTCGTTAAAAGGCTATGACGCTAAGTATTCAGTTTTATTTGATAATCGCTATTCATTAATATTGCTGTTTATACCTAAGTTTTTTAGCGAGCAGCACTACGAAAGATTGATTGCTTACGTTCCTTCATTCAAATGTGCTTCTCTGTACTCAAACCGCCTTAACTGTTCTGGACCATTGAAATTAGTTGTGCTGTGTTGTATACGAAAAACCGATGTCGCATCTCCCGGTCAAGCATTGAGCAACCACTGTTTAATGATTTTGAAGTAGATTACTTTGGTCTTTTTATTAAATCATCCGGCGCAGATCGGAAAAAAAAGATGAAAAGTTTTTGTTCCCGCCTTTTACCAGCCGTTCCGTAAAAAATGATGTCGTACCCCCATTAGATACAAGATCTTATTTGATGGGCATATAGCAAATCATCGGGTGCCGCGGTTTGCAAGCCGTCTTTTAGTCCGACAGCGGGTCCAATTATGTTGGCTCGGAAAAAAATCTGCTCCTATGTATCCGATAGTCAACTATGCACGCGTCAACCTTCCTGGCAATTTAGAGGATAAAATTGAAGTTTAACCCACCTTGAGCCCTACACCATAATAAGTCTTGAGAAAGAGTGATCCGCAGTTGCAAACGAGTCTTCAATTCGATATTAGAATCCTGAAAAAGACCGATGAATTTCGCAGTACAGCTTTCTGCATAGTGGAAAGATCATTGAACTCAACGTTTTTTACTCCAGTGAGCTCGGACCTTACCAATCAAAAGGCTCTCACAACTATGCATTTTCTGCTTGGGCAAGATTTAGTCTCTTTTTACTGAGGAGTGTTTTTGACCATACGAAACGGTATATCCGTACACAATGGTACGCGAATGCTCTAAAGTCACGTTGACTGAGGACTCAACAAGCGCAACAAGCGGTTCTGACCACCTGAGTTTGAGCTCAGGACTGGTGATTTCGTTTGGGTAGTTGACTGAACAGCCCTAGTGGCTACTATCCACTCACTCGCATCGTCTCGCTCAATTACGGCAAAAGCCATGTCGCCCGTTCAGCCGGTAAACTCGCAGCAGTCATTCTCCCTGTGGAGGCGGATGATGCTGCCGCTAGTATGGGCTGCATCAACTAGTCTATAACTTCACTCTTTTTTAGACAAGTTGGCTGAGCAGTTTAATTTGAAGTAATGAACAATAGTCGCGTGTTTGAACCCAGTACATCGGCGCGTGTTTGAACCCAATCCGGGCCCATGTTTTATGCAGTGTTTTTGTAGAAACAGTTTTTTTGATTTTTTACTTGATCATGGTCATAACTTATACAAATTTTGACCGTAAAATCACACCTGGGCGCGTCGGTTACCTTAAATAATTTGTAGACAAAATTTAAGGAATTTTCATAGATTATCATGAGAGTTTCTTGGTCGTTTTATTTATATCCTTGCCATCAAGTGAGCAATCAAGTTTGTGAATCATACTTTACTGCCAAATAAAGTGTTAAAAGGTAATTTTTGTACGATTTTGACATTTTGGCTTTCAGAAATGACACAAAGTCTCTACAAAATGTCTCTCAGCCCCTTTTTCTATAAAACTATAATTTTCGCTAAAAAATTGATTGCCGAGTTGAGAGGAAACTTAACGATGAGAAATTTGTAAGTAAGATGTAGCATAAGGTGAATATCGCACACTAGTTTACAGTAGAACCCATAGAAAATTAACTGGTTAACGACAAAAGCAGCAAAAATCATCAAGTTTTTTAGCAAAAGGCTATATAACAAATCAAAAAAAATGATTGAAACAAATAAAATTTTGAGCTCAGAAATCGAAATTATCAAAGCCAGATTTTGAGCAAAATCCTATATAGCAAATCAAGAAAATATTTGATATAAATCAAATGACTACCTAAACCATTTCAAACTGCAACAGAATTTGAATTATTTGGTATTTGTTATACTAGCAGACGCTATAAATATAAAATGAAAAAAAGATGGGCAATGAATAAATGCAACACATACTCATTAAGAAACAAATGAGATTAAGAAGTTTTCAGAAGGCTGTCTCAGTGTCGAGAAACATCAATTTATAAATTTTAGCTTAAGTCTAATTCCGAATGTCCGAACGAGGACTGCTAGCAAGGAGTAGTCTAATAAATGAAAGTTTCTTGGACGTTTCCTTGGCAAGAATGTTTAAGTAATCAAACAATCTGAAAAAAAAACTTAGAAAACTTGCATTGATTTTTTTCTGAATGACAATCATTTTTTTCTTCTAACCTTGTAACCATTTGATTCTGATTTTAAATAATTCATCATGTGAAAAATATCTGATAGGAAGAATTTTTGCGATGTCCCATGGGCAGATAGTATATAATAAAAAAATTTACCTCTGGTGAAACTCGGTCATGTTTTAGTGCATTTGAGCTCGGAGCCACAACCAATGCCAGTAAGTAGTCAAAAATTTACTAAATAGTTGCTAAAGTGTTCAGAGTGCAGGCAAAAAAAATCGCAAAGCCGTCCAGTTAAAGTACTGCGGACACTCGTCGAAAAATTGAGACCGAACCCCTGCAAAGTATTAAAGAAAAAAAAACTTTTCTCAAAGAGCGTTTCTTTATTGCTCTAATGATGAGTTTTTTCCTACGTAATTTAATCTGTATTTGGTATTCAGCTGCTAAGATTGAAACAGAACAGCCTGACGAAGACGAGTTAAACAAGCCTTTCCTGATTGGAATGATGCTTATTGCAGTTGCTACTTTCATCGTAGTAACATGTCTCCTTGTCTCCTACTGCAACCATGCCAGGTGGGTTGAATTTTCAGACAATTACTCGCTACTCATGGATTTTTTTCAGACAATTCCGTTCCTTATTTTGAGTAGTCTATTTTTCAGTTTATTTTCGACCTGTTATCTACAACGTGTTTTCTTTTTTACAAGCTGCGTGCTATACATAAACTAAAAATTTTGATTAACAATCGAAAAAATGTAGTTTTCAGTACTAATTTTCAGTAATTAACTTGAACAGAATTGTAAGTTGTTTTAATTTTCTACGCTGCTGTTTATTGCAAATCATGACAATAAACAAAAAATGATCTTCAATTTTCTGGAGGTAAAATATTCCAGTTTATAGAGAAAGAACGTGATCAAAGGTAGCTCGACCCCCTGCCGACTCATAGGGTCCCTCTTTGTACTATTTTGAGATAGGATCTTTTTAGTGCTTTGGAAAAAATCAAAAATCAAATTAGTTGACCTATAAAAAAGTCGACAAAATGTTCGACATTTTTTGAAAATCCCCCCGCCCCTCGAGAAAATCCTAGATCCGCCCCTGACAAGGGCGGATATAGAAAGAGGCATATCTTCAAAAAAAGTTTTAAAATTTTGTCGATCATTGTTAAGGTCTCAGATCACTAATGAAACCCGATTTTGCGAAAATCTTTTGACCGGAAATGCATGTCAAAAAAAAATTTTCAGGCAAGCTCTCCCCTTTAAAATTAGCATACACTGCGCCTGTATAGTGCACTGCTCCATGCACAGTCTACTACAACTCAACAACTCCAGACTGATTGTGTGTTACAGGCAAATACGTATGCAACAACCAGCAACGACAAAAAAAAATTCAGCACACAGAAATTACAAATTTACAAACAGAAAAAGAAGAATTTTTTATCAGCTCTTGTAACAAAACAAGGAAACTGATTCAATCTAAAACTTTGAAATACAACAGAGTCCTTTCATTTTTAAATTTACTGGCACTCAGTTTTTCAACGTGCCTAAAATTAGCAAGAAAAGCTTCCTGATCTGCTTAAAAAAATCCTGGGAGCTAATAGCAAAACATTGAAAAATTGTGAGTGTTTTTGTTTGGTTGGTTATTAATTTTACCAGTTTAACAAACTTAACGTCCTCATTACCTCAATAGTTCTGGTAACTGATGTAATGTTTCACGTCCTAATTTCGTGAAAAGAATTTCTCTCACTCTAGTACTAGAGAGACTAATACATGTTTCCAGAGAACTCTGATATTTTGTTTACATCTGAGACTTGAAATTAAAAATTTATAATTACTTGGTTTCTCTTCTAGTGCTAGTTTAAGATCTACGAAGAAACATAAACCCTCCCAGAAACACCAGTCGCCAAGCATTCGACAGCTGAACAACCCGGTCAACAACAAGATCACGCATTTTAAAAGCAACGAACTCATCGACAGCAAATGAGAGCAATTGGAACTCTCCAATCGAACAACAGCAACACGCGACAGTTACTCCACAACTAAGTAGTTTTGCAGCATTACATTATCCTCCACTCAGTTTGGCGCCACACACAAAAACGTCGTTAAAGCGCCGTGATTGGTACCAGCATCAATATCAACAACCAGGCAGTCATCACTACTGCCAAAGTTCTAGCTTGAACTCCGATGCCAAAAACTTAACCCTTTTGAAAAACTTGACAACAAATTGCGCTCATCAGGCTATCGACGGATACTCATGCAACAGCGGTATTTTTGCAAATGCTCTTCAAGAACTTGAGATACGATTTGAAAGCAGACATAAATGTGTGCCAATACATAAACAAACTACAGCTAACCCGGGTGTCTGCGAATCAAAATAAGCAACCGTTTTTGGAGATTTCATAATTCGTTAGCAATTTTGTGGAAACGTGTCAAATGCTTGAGTTTACGGACAAGCAAAACTGTAAATTTTCTGGAAAGTTGGTAGCCAACAAAATTCTGCCGTTTGAGCCACTTCACTGGACCCGATATGTAATTAACAACAACATTCAGCTGCCTCGCCTCATTATATCAATTCCAGTCAATAGCCTAGAAATTTAAGTTTAGCCTGTGACTATTTCAATCAGGCGAGTTTCTTTTTTTCGTATAGTGAAGAACGAAACAGTGAACATTAAAACATCTAAAATTGCGGCAGCTAGACTCCAGTACCAGAATTTTGGAAAACACAAAAAGAGCTCAAAATGATCCTGTGTTTTTATGATACGGATCATCCACTCGCACATCATTTTCAACAGAAATACTTTCCAATTGACGACAAGAGAAAAATTGGACACCAGATGTTTTTATCTGAATTGTCCTGAACAACTCATGGTAAGATTTAAAACCCAAAGCAACACGCTTCCTTTGCAGCAGACAGCATCACATAAGCATTCATCAACGGCAAAACTAGAACAGCTGTCTCCACTAACCACAGCAGCCGCCTTCAGATAGATCGGAGGAAATAAAACCATTCAACGACAGCAGAAACGCTTCTCGAGTTCGAGGCTTCTTCATGCAACTGTAACTATTTGTTCTAGAATAAAAACTTTTTTTTTACTTTACACGCCATTTCGAACGTGATAGTTATCTGCTTTAATTGACATTCGTCTTGCTTCAGCTGGAAAGAAGCCTCAAAAACAAAGATATTTTTATCCCGGGAGTTCAAGACTTGAAGCGCACCAAGGCACCGCCAGTTAAACTGACCACCCTCACGTTAGGAAATATCAGCGTAGAATCTTTAAGTGCTCAGCAAACTAAACCTAGAGGAAGTTCAACCAGAGTACTTGACAAGCATCTGCCTTAGCTACAACCATCTAAAAGACTTAAAATATCCAGATGTCGACAACAACCAAGTCTTAATTCTCAATGGAACGGACCACCCTGACCTTTTTACATCTAAAACAACAACATAAAGACTCAAAAACACACCGCATGAAATTTCTCTGCTATTTGGTTGGACAATTCGTGAAAAACTCAAAAAAATAGAGCTCCCAATCTACTCTTCTCTCTCATCAGAGCTATCCGCGAAAACGCAGAGCTCTCCGAATAACTAACATTTACTTGGGGAATGGAACTCTGCGTTACCTCTGCGGAAGAAACTCTCTCCAAAGATTAAAAAACACGTTTTCGACTTTTTAGCACACTGTCATACCTACACGGAATGACCGTACGATGTTGAAACTCCGTGGAAGCCATTTGCCTTCATTCTGATTCATTCTCACATTTTCTTTGATGCGACTCAACGCTCCGACAAGCTTTCATTGTACACGGATTCGATCACAACTGCTGGTATGAAGAGCTACATTCGTAACCTTCTATGCAAAGAACATGCCTCAACAGAATGTGAACTGTCTGAAAATAGAATGATCAACTAAGTAAACCTTGAAACGCCGCAGAGTATCAATCAAGATAGTGAAGTTCAAAAATGTTTGAGGACGGAAAAATCCCCCTTGCATGGACTTTGAAAAATTGCGGACACTGTTTATAACCACCCAGCTAGTTTTTTTACGAGTATACTGGGTGATTTTTGGCTCTATATAACCGCTAAGCGTGGAACATCAAAAGCCAATGTCCACAGACCAAATCACTCACCGACTCCCGCGAAACTCAGGGACCCCTTCAGATTACCCACCCGAGTATACCCGAAGTCCACTCCAAGCTGACTCTTGGATTCTTTTAGCTGGATAAAAAAAATATTGGCGTATTTCGGCTTCTCTCAAGTAAAAGAATCTTGGTTTCTCTCAACTATGTAAAATATAGAACAAATATTACGAGCGACAATGCCATCAACTGAACCCAAGAATTCTAACCTGAATTTATCCACTACCATCATTTGGATTTTCATCAGAAGAATCATTCGTTTTTCAACAATCTGGTTTTTGACATTTTTCGACAAGCATCTCATCTCGAACAAACAATATGGAGTGGTTCTTGTCTGCATGACTACTCGGGCAGTGCATCTGCAAATGTGTCGGGATCTATAACAGACGCATTTCTAACAGCCCTCCGCCGCAGAAAAGAAAAGATGATCATCCTCGACAGCTCCGAAACACTTTTTGCAAGAGTCTATCTTAAACTTGCTTTCCAGTCAGGTTTTGACCTTGAACACTCCGCTTATTTTAGGTGGACAACCCGTTCGACTTTAAGAAAATCTAAGTCGTTCGCGTTGATTTCCAGATCTCATCAGACGATCGTGTAGCATAACAAAACAACAATCGAACACACCGTAAAGCTGTTCAAGTCCCAATAAAATGCCTTGTCCTTGTGTATCCAGACAAATACATCCAGCAGTCGGCAACAAAAATCAGCAATCAAATTGATTTGTCATCTTTAACGCCAACAGCTTGACCTGTAAGGAAGGAAAACTTGCCAGCATTGTTTTTCTAAACAGCAACCAAATCCTAGGCTACACAAGTGCGACATACTCCAACAAGGATACCCGAAATTTAGAAAAAAAATTTATTGCCTGAAGACTTCAACATCAGAACCCTGATACCCAGCAACAGTGTTTTCTTCTCGGGAGCGTATTCTCATTATGCTGATTAAACTTATAATATGCGCTCAACTTCTCCATCTGCAATTATTATGCAATTGTGACTCCAACATGCATTTTCTTGTATAACGACATTGACTTGCCAATCTTCTTAGTTCTTTAGATTGCATCTCCTTAAAAGCAGACTTCTCTTGGCAAAATAATCAGAAGAACGTCGCGGAAACATTGAATAAAGACTCAAAACACCAAGTTAATATAATTTTGACAGCCGTTGAAACTCCATCTTAACAGAAGATAAACTCCATCTTAACAGCCTAGAAACCTCATTTCGACCACAAACAGGTTACTTACAGACAATTGATGAAAACCAAGCTAAGACACTCGCCTCAAAAAGGCTTAGAAAAAGACTAAGGGACACCCCACCTTCAACCCTCTCTCAGTTTTTTTGCGATTGCAAATTAGGACTGGCTGTACCGTGCACTGTTTTTTGAAGAGTCTACTGCAAATAGGCAAATTTGTATGCAACGACCAGAAACCACACGAGTTTGTC